GAGAGAGAGAGAGAGAAAGAGAAAGAGAGAGAGAGAGAGAGAGAGAGAGAGAGAGAGAGAGAGAGAGAGAGAGAGTGAGAGAGAGAGAGAGAGAGAGAGAGAGAGAGAGAGAGAGAGAGAGAGGTGGGGGTGGGAGATTAAGGAAACGCGGCAGGGAAGATAGGTGAGGGGCGGTAGAAAAAAGGAGGCTGAGCGAGGGACATCGGAGGTCAAGGGGAAGGACGTACGGGAGTGTATGAAGTAAGAGTTTTGCACCCTACAACCTAGGGCGCTCTCCTAATTGTAAACCCGGGTCTACTGATAAAAATTAATTACATAAATCTATGCTGAGATACCCCCTGACCATATTAAATTTATACTCATTACAAAATAGATTTCTTCTGGTGAGATATTTCTTATGCGCTTACATACTAGCGTAGCCAGTTTGTGTAATGACTGATATATACAGCGGGCACCTTACATGCAAGATCTCGGTCCTATTTCTTAAGAGAGGTCTACTGATGGATTGTCATCATATAAATCCATGCTAGATTACCTTCCCTCGATATTAAATGTACATGCTTCGCAAAATGTTATTCTTCTCTATTGATATTGCGCATGCGCGAGCACCGTTTCAGGCGAGCAGTACAGACTGAGTGCAACTGCATAATATAGGTTACCGAGAGAACGAGAGAGAGAGAGAGAGAGAGAGAGAGAGAGAGAGAGAGAGAGAGAGAGAGAGAGAGAGAGAGAGAGAGAGAGAGAGGGCACGCGAGAGAGAGGTGGAAGTCTACGGAAAGGCGGCAGGAAAGATAGCTGAAGGGTGGGAAAAAAAGAAGGAGGCTGAGCGAGGGACATGGGAGGACAAGGGGATGGACGGGAGTGGATGAAGTAGGAGTTGGATGAAGTAGGAGTTTTGCACCCTACAAGCTAGGGCACTCTCCTAATTATAAACACAGGTCTACTGATAAAAATTAATTACATAAATCTATGCTGAGATAGCCCCTAACCATATTAAATGCATATTCTTCACAAAATATAACTCCTCTTGTGAGATATTTCGCATGCGCTTACATACTAGCGTAGCCACCGTACTGACTGATATATGCAGCGGGCACCTCACATGCAAGATCTTCGTCCTATTTCTTAAGAGATGTCTACTGATGGAATGTTATCATATAAACCTATGCTAGAATACCTTCCCTCAATATTAAATGCATTGCCTTTACAAAATTTTATTCTTTTTGGGAGATATTGCGCGTGCTCGCGCACCGTTTCAGGCGTGCAATACGGACTGAAGGCAACTGCATAATATAGGTTCTTAATGGAGAAAGTGGCGGGAGACTGAGGAAAGGCGGCAGGGAAGATAGCTGAAGGGTGGTAGAAAAAAGGAGGCTGAACCAGGGACATGGGAGGTCAAGGGGAAAGACGGGAGTGGATGAAGTAAGAGTTTTGCACCCCCCCCCAGTCAAATCCTTTTTCCCCAGTTGCCCCCTCTCCCAGTCAGTTCCTGTACAAAGGTTTAAGGACACAGTTCACAGGAGCAATGACAATATTAATTTTACTCCGTAGTCCCAAAATGTCGCTTTTCAATCTTTGGGGTTTAACGCTAGTCTATGTAATTTGAATTCTTATTGAGTGGCAGACCTCCCAACGCTTCCGATTTTGGCGGAAAATTTCCGCTTTCTTATTCCATTTCCGCCACTACGATTTTCCCCTTTATTTTTTCGCGAGACAGCTATTTCCTTGGATAGCCTTTATTTACACCACTAGCGTTTACAAGGCATGTTGGTTTCAACATTGATACCGTGTGAAATGTATTAACCTTTTCGGTGCGGGTAACGGCCACTGCCGCGCAAATGTGCCTGACTTGGTATATTAATTATATATTATAAGTTAAATTATTCTCTCATTATTACGTGGCATATTTTGTATCAACATTGTTTTCTTTTCTCTTGACCATAAGTATGTTATAGAAGTATTTCCAGTAAATTTAGAAGTTTGGATATGGATCAGAAGTGCTATACAAGCGTGTTTATTTATCTGTTTAAGGCATACAGAGGCTTGATTTTTCACCTCAAAAATGCTAAGAGCTCAGCTTCCAGGGGCTTTGCCTCAGGGCCCCATGCACCTGGGGCCGTAAGGCCGGCTCCTGGACGCCACCCATTAGTTCTCGCGCTACGCGATCACAACATTTTGCCCCCTTCCCCCAAACATTTTTCCTTGCCTTCGGCTTGCCCCCCCCCACACACACACTTTTATAATCCTGGTGTTGCCACTGAATATGCTTCGCCAGACTAGTGACCATATACATTTGAGAACTGTTCTAAATTGGATGCCAGTCAGCATAAAGCTGTAAATTAAGATGGGTTTCCGAAACCTATCATGCATAGTTCTGATGTTGTTTTGGCTCAATACAATTTTATTAGCCTCCTCTTCGTGTCCGCTCTCTCCATGCTAAACTTATAACTTTCCATAAAATTTATCAGAAGATTGTGAAGATTGGCATTCCCTCTTGCTTGATGAAGCCTGTTCGTTGCACTCAATCATCTGAGCGTGATCGTTGCTTTCGATATATGTGCCATCTTCTAAGGATCCCTTTAAGTTGAGCTTCTTTGTGTCTGTCATTCCGTATTGGAATTCTCTCCCTTAATTCCTCTTTAGTAAATTGCCAGTTTGAGGCTTTTCATTTGTACTGCGATCTGCAGTGTTAATCTGTCGCTTTGATCAACTTGTCTCTTTCCGGGGCCGTATCGGCTAAACAAATCCCACGGGGGGGGTGAAATTTCATGACTTAACTGTGTCACGATGAGTGATGGGCGCAGCTCTTGATCGACGTCCATAGTGTGGTAGGGGTGGGTATGAGACAAGTCTTTCACGAATAATTAGCGACCTAAAATATTACGTTAGGGTTATTTACAATTATTACCTAAGCTTATTTTTTAATTTGGCTCCGAAATCTAGGGAGCTAGCTACCCCCTTGCCCCCCACAGCCTACGGCCCTGCTTTCCGACTTAGATATAGTCCCTTGGACTTCGAAGACTATTATTCACGAGGTTACGAAGTTAGGTGGTATACATATCATCCAGTACACTGCCTTCGGCTGCTAGACTGAGTTGTGAAGCAAAGTTTACATGCACATGAAATCATGAATTAAGTGATGAAGCACATGTGCGTGCGCACGCGGCGTGCGTGAGTTGGTGTATGTGTCGTTATTTTAGGGTCAGAGAAAAAATATATTAAATAAAGTGAATACAAAAATTCGTTTTTCTTGCCGGCGGGCCGACGGCACGTGTGCATGGTAAAATCAGATCTACCTTCTTCACTTTGCTCGCAGCATCACACCACGATTCCCTGCTATGCTAATGTACATGAGAAAGGCGCTCCGACGTCGGTCGCCCATGACTAGCTGCCAAGATAATTTTCTTCGGTCGTTCTTATACGTTCAAACTAGTCGCGGGCGGGCCGACTTGTGTGCACTCATGGCGACGTAACGCCTGAAGTGAACGATCTAGGGCCTGTCACTAACATTTAAATTAACACTTTATTTAGTCACATTTAAATGTCGAACGTGTTAAAACAGAGGGTGGTCGACAGGCAGGTGGTGCGCACAGCAAATTCCGACCTAGCTACATTACATGACTGTCATTTAATGTCAAATTAATGACTGATATCATTGCCACTTAGCTGCCAACTGTTCTTGATTATAATGGAGGTTTCCTCTGATATTATAGTGACTATTTTTTAATTATGTATATATGTTATGGTGACAACAAATTAAAAAAAAAATAATAAAGTTAAAAAACTTAGCTTGGAATTAATTTAAAATGAATAAAAGAGGGGACAGAGTTTTATTTCATTTATATTCAGTCACCAAATGATTTTGGACAGTTGCTTGCATATACCAAGCACGTGCGTGCGTGCGTGTTGTGTGCTGCGCGCTATATATATATACACACACTACATTTACTTGTCTGTATATTATATATATATATATAATATCTATTTCAGATTCTTGGTATAATTAATGATGTACTTGTGTCTAATATCCTATATGTACCTACTACCTGTTCAAAACCTTCAAGTTATTTATTTCTTTATTTTATTTATTTATTACGGATTACGGTACATTGCATGGTTAACGATATGCCAACATGAGCTTGCAAGCTCCGCACCTTCAGTGAACATGATGATTAAAAATAAATAAATAAAATTATAAAAAACTGGGCTTTCTTCTCCCTCAATTGATTTTTGGCTCAATTAATTCTGGATTATGATTAAAAATTATTTCGACTAGCAAAAGAACGTACCTAAGCGGCACCTACGTTACACTAGGCGGCACCACCGTACGGCCGGTGCAACGTAAAAAACACGAGCGAAGTGTCGCGTCGCGCAGCCACTCCTGTTTTGCGGTTTCCTGTTTTTCTGTCTTTAATGTTGCGTGTTTTCAGGTGGCAACTGGAGATTGTGTGCTCAACAAAGGCAAACGTGATTTCTAAAATCATGGCACAACCATCGAGACCTAGTTCAGATATGATGGCTTTCAGGAAAATATTTGCCTGTGCCAAGAATGTTGTTGTTTTAACTGGTGCGGGAGTGAGCGCTGAAAGCGGTGTGCCTACATTCAGAGGTGCTGGCGGTTTATGGAGAATTTGGAATGCCACGGTATACGTAAACATAGTTAGGCTCATAGGGTCTATGTCCCCCAGGGTACTGCCGGAACGTACCCTGGTAACTATTAGTGCGTTCGATTTGCTTCCCCAGAGCCACTAGTGACTAGACGATCTGCAGGCCGGATATCCGCGCGAAGCGCTCAACGCCGCTCGCGGCGCACTTTTGCAATTTCGCTGCCCTTACCAACGCAAGTACTCCGGTCCTTTCTAGGAGAGGCTTGAAGCGGCTTTTCGCTGAATTGAGCAGTTTGCCATTGCACGAGGATCGCACTACCCAGTTAGGTAGAGACGGGCTAGAAAAGCTCCCAAGATTTTGTTCGCTACAAGTACTAGGCGCGCTTTCTTTGCTGTAATAACGGAGTTTTTTGTTGACATTGTAACAATATATAGCGCTTATGCGTAGCGTTGACTGGCTGAGTTTAGAGGATACGATATATAGAATTCGTCTTCGCTATTCTTAATAATTACAGTTAGTTTCATTGTCACTCTTATCTGTCTATTGTATCTCTGCATAGTTACACTCCTCATCAAACTAAAGATTTCACATGGTGGCAGAAGTGCCTAAACTGTGAACAGTGGGAAACTTGAACTGTAGTGTTCCGTAAGAATTCACGTGAAATTCCGGAGTGCTCCGACTCGGACGCGCCAAGGATAGAGAACATGAGTCCCAATAAAACCAATGTGTGCCTCGTACTCGTGATTCTACAGGCACCTAGGCTATATATATATTGATATCTAACACGATCCCCAATGCGAGCATCGAATTGTATCCACACCTACGAATACTTCTATTACTACAAGTACATGTTACAATTAATTACTAGTAAGTACTACTAGTACTACTAAGTACCAGGACTACTACAGTATACTAGTACTAGTACTATTACTACCAGGAGCTAATATGACAAACTGTTGTTACCTCGTACTAGTGTTACTATATTAATAATGACGACTGCTGTTTGTTTACTAGTACTCCTCCTACTAAATATAATAAAATATAATGCTAACTAAATACGAAATCTATTTACTACCAACTTCTTCATGTTTCTATAGCATAGGACTCCTTTTGACCTATACTATTGGCTGAGTTTCCTGTAAATTCTGTCGAAATCCTACGTCCAACGTACGCTGCCGGCTGCCATTGCTCTGCGCGGCGCGACTGTTGCACGCTTACACTAATATATATAGCAGGAGGTAGGAAGCGTGCTGCCAAAATTCGCTCGACGCTCACTTCATTTGAAACTTTCACAGCACGAATACACATGCATTCAACAGCTTCCATCTTTGTTTCTCCTTGAACAACAGTATTCACTTGTTATAAAAACATAATGTCTCTGTTCGTAACCGAGCTGTGTCATGCGAAATCACACAAAGACTGACGAAATTCTCGCGTTCGCGAACCTTGCCAGTAATAGAAAGGCTGGCTGTCAGCCGCAACACTGCAACACGTTTTTGCAACGTTCCAAATGGCGAGGCTCGTACGGGAGTTGGAAAAGCAGTGCCCGCCTGCGCGCCGCCTATAGCCCATAGACTGGCACTCGCTTCCACCTCTCGGCTTAGCTTAGTCACTCGATGGGTAATCGAGGTGGGAGTGAGTCCCAGTCTATATAGCCTTTGTCCTTGCAGCCATTTCCATTACTGGGCAAGGTTCGCGAACGCGAAAATTTCTGTCAGTCTTCTGTGATTTCGCGTGACACAGCTAGGTTACGAACAGAGACATTATGGTTTTATAACAAGTGAACACTGTTCACGTCCAAATGTCTGCCCTCTGTGTCCCCCACTAAAATTGTGGACTGTTCGCTGGCAGCTATGGACGTGCGTCGCGCCGGCGTAAGCATTCGGCGCACGGATCCATAGCTGCCAGCGCTGCATACTGTCGTAGGACGTCTCCGGTCGCGTGCGTCTTCCGCGGGAACTGCGCGCAAGATCTGCGCTCAGCACTTCGGTCAACACCTTCTTTCGGCAACGCTTCTCTAGTATCCCGTCTCATCTGGATACAATAATGTAACCCAAACCCAAGAGGATAGGGGTTGGGTTATCCTCTTGGGTTTGGGTTACATTATTGTATCTACAGAGCCACCTGCATGGGTTAACCTTGGTACGTAATCGAACGCATCTGGGTTAGGGAAGATAAACGAACGGTTTTTGGGTTAACCCGGGTTAATTATCATTGATGCCAGTGACAAGAAAAACAGAATAGCAATTGCAATCTTATTATTAATGAAATCTAGCTAAGAATGAGCGGCTCAAGGATAGAGAGCATGTCCAGTAATAAACATCATCCTCTCCACTCACCGTCCTTGAGCAAACACACGCAGTCATTCACACTGCTACATTCATGCAGCACTGATCCCGCACTGATATCGTCGCCATGCATGGTGTCGTTGCAATGGATTGTGGGATACTTCCCCAAGCCCCCCCAAGTGAGCGGCTCGGCGAGCGGGTTACTTCGTCCTCACCAGCGTTGACCCAAAATACCACGTGACTGCCAAATCGAACGTATTTGGGTCTGGCCCGAGTATACCCAGGTTAACTTGGGGAAGCAAATTGAACGCGCTATATTTGATATGGTTAGGGTTAGGGAGTAGGCATAGGCGACTCCCTAGACTCGTTAGTGGAGTAGGCGAGGTACGGTCCGGCATATTAGATAGTACCAGGGTACGTTCCGGTATACCGGACCGTACCCAGGGTACGTTCTGGCAGTACCCTGGGGGACATAGACCCTCTCAGCCATAGTTAGCGCATGCACACACGAGAGAGAAGGGGGTAGAAGAGGGCACTAGAGAAAATATATGACAAATCACAGGCACTTGGAGCGTTTCAATAAAATATAATGCTAAATAAATACGAAATCTATTTACTACCAAAGTCTTAATGTTTCTATACTCTCTTTCACCTATTATTACCGACAATTTCCTGCAAATGCCGTCCAAATGCTCATCTGCAACAAACGCTGGCTGCCGCTGCCCACTGACACATAAATATAAATAAATATAAATATATAACTATATATTTATGTGTCAGTGTGCAGCGGCAGCCAGCGTTTGTTGCAGATGAGCATTTGGACGGCATTTGCAGAAAATTGTCGGTAATAATAGGTGAAAGAGAGTATAGAAACATTAAGACTTTGGTAGTAAATAGATTTCATATTTATTTAGCATTATATTTTATTGAAACGCTGCAAGTGCCTGTGTGACAAATGGTATACAAAAGCAAGAAAGATGGGGGCAGAGAGACAGAGACAAAGAAAGAATGAGAGAGACGGAGAGATAGACGTAGAGGGAGAGACAGTTGTAGAAAGATAGATAGTGAGATAGACATAGAGATACATAAGAGGGTGAAGATATAGAGAGACAGAAAGATGGGAAAGCAGCGAGAGAGAGAGAGAGAGAGAGAGAGAGAGAGAGAAAGAGAAGGATGAAGAGAGCCTGAGAGCGAGCATGCGGGAGAGAAAGGGGCAGAGAGTGAGAAACAGGAGAGGAAAGACAGGCATACAGAGAGAGAGAAGGCACAGGTAGGAAAGAAAGAGCGACTGTGTGAGATAGTGAGGGGAGACGGGAGAAGTGCGCGGGGGAGGGAAGAGGGAGAATGCAGGGGAGGGGGAGTGGAATGCCTTGACACACGCATGCAGAAATATATACAAACATCAGGGGTAGAAATTAACTTTTTAACAAGGGAGTCCAACGGACTCGCTGCTCTCAACAAGAGGGAGTCCGTAATCTGAAGTTCAAAATTAAAGATTTGCTGAAAAAATACGGTAATTCTGCTAGGCCGTGCTCTGGAACGAACTAGTTAGTATAGCAGAATTTTCAGGGAGCCACACGGACTCCTGCATATGTCAAATTAGGGAGTCCGACAGTAAATCGGGGAGTATTTGACTCCGGACTCCCGTTAATTTTGCACCCTGAACATACATTCATTTCTCACTGACACGAATACTTGGAATACATTGGATGCTGCTCTGGAGTTGAGTTGGAATATCTAACCAGCTTTCCTTCTACTATCATATTGGATCAGAACAAAATCTACTAACATTGTTGTTCTTGTGGTGATTTTTTCGCACAGAATTTATGTCCTCTGGCACTAAATCTCTGAATTTCAACGTGTATTGTGACTGAATCAATGACAGCGTAAGCCTGTATCTCATTCAGTAAATGGACTTAAGTAGTCTTGCATTACAGTCTGGAATGGGTTTTCTTACAATATCTGGTGCATTGTATACTATAAGTAGGGCACATTTCCTTCACCATCTCAGGATGTCCTTCACACTGCAGGGCTCAGCATCTGTTTGTACGTGGTTCCTCCACTCCCTTTCTTCCTCATGTGCTTGTGCTTCACTGCATGTGCAGATGACTGTCCATCGATCACCAATCATGAGTCTTCTTGGTGACCTTGGACAAGACATTTTTCACAATGTTCCTACGTTAATTCAGTCACCCTGAGAAGTCTCTTTCAGCACAGATATTCTTATTTCTCACGCAATAGAGTCACGAATAACGCTGTCGTGTAATTTGGCAAAATTGCAATTAGCTGGTAACAGTGTGAGTTCCATCAGGGTATTCTCAGACGTTTCTCCATCTTCCTGATTTCTCATGCAGAATTTGTATCGGTTGACAGTTTCATTTATAGGAGGATTGCAGTAGACATCAAATGCCTTGATCACATTCTTGGTTAGTTCTACCCAAACTAACTTTAGTCAAGTAAGTTGAGTAGAAATTAGTTAAAAGTTAGTTTGCCTCTTGAATGTTTCCGATGTCGAGGCCTCGGCTATAACTACTAGTAGCATGTTCCATATACACACTTACAAATAGTTCCACATCATTCGGTATAACGGGAGAGGGTTTCAGCAGTTTTTGAGCTGGTATGTCACTCAGATTTTAAGAATTGTGTAGAATATACCAATTGCTCCCATTCCCAATCTCCTGTTGGGATTTGGCCGTGTGTGGGCTCCATGTGGAGAAGTAGTATTTGAGGTTCAGCTTCAGTTCTACTGTTTGATATCAGTTGGTTCTGTCTTGCTATGATATGTAATGTCATGGCCTTTTGTTTTCATATTGTGTGCATGCACGATAAGTGCAGAATACAATAATAGTCTTACTTTATGCTTCGTGCTATTCGTTACAATTGCAAGATATTTAAAATTGATGCAAAACAATTAGGCTAAATTACGTACAATGTTTTAACATTGTTGTTTTGCTTTAGGATCTTGCCTCACCTGAGGCATTCACAGAAAACCCATCGCTGGTCTGGGAGTTCTATCACTACAGGAGAGAAGTTATGCTGAGTAAAGAACCTAACAAGGCAATTAACGTCCTGCTACTTTATATGGTTCAAACACATAGCGATTAGTTAACCATAACTAACTAACCACCTATCCACAACTTCGTATATGGTAGTGGCAGTCTGGTAACACAGTTGAATTCTTAGTTATAAACATATGCCTTAGTATAATATAAGCATAATATAATAGAGTATAATATAAACATATGCCTTGTAATGTACATGTTAATCAACCAATGTGAGAAAACTATGTATTCGTTTTGTTTCGGGTAAATGGCAGCGCAGGTTTTGATACGTAGTCCTTTTCACCATTGACGTGTATATTATAGCATAGGTGATGTGGAATTAATGTGATATTATGATTTCCCCTACAGGCACACGTAGCAATTGCAGAAGCTGAAGCACGGCTAAAGAAAGAAGGGCGTCATCTTGTTGTTATTACACAAAACATTGACGAACTTCATTTTAGAGCTGGGTCGAAAAATATAATTGAACTACATGGTAATTCTCAAGTAACATTAAATAAGAGTAGAGTGAGCTTGCTGCCACCCACTTTGTCTTAACAGCTGAGTCGGCATACTGCAGTCCCATGTTCTGTATTACTGGATTAATTGGTCACTGTGTGTAGTACGTCTGTCTGAAAAATGCTTTTCTACACAGATAGTCATGGCTTCGGCTCTTATTACAGTTATCCACAATATTATCGTAAAGCAATAATATCTCAAGTACAGCTAATATCAACATCAACTATAAAAACCTGTGGTAAAATCTTGTCTTCTCTATTAACAGGCATGTTTCTAATTACAGGTAATCTGTTTAAAACAAGGTGTTTACGCTGCAATGATGTCAAGGCAAACCATGATAGTCCTGTCTGCACTGCCTTGACTGGGAAAGGGTAAGCTCATATATTTTTCTAAAATATTACACTTCTGAAACCCTTGCGCATTCAAAATGTAACTGACCCCGAGTTTGCCTTGCACAAACCTATTTGGGTGGCATTTATTATAAAGCATTTATGGGAAAATTTTGATAATGTCATTTACAATATCGTTTTACACTATATTTGTCTTATTAGCACAAACACCAGTCCTATTTTCCCAACATGTAAAAATGAGGAATCATTGAAGTAAAATTTAATCGGTCAAGGTAAAATCTAGTCAGTACGGTCGGAGTGATATATGCATACCGCATGGTCATTTGATCTTCGTGATGTGACCGAGCTTAGTCGCCACTAATCTGCGATGAAACGTGCTAATCCTAACATTGTTATAATGTCCAAACACGTGACGTTTGGCTGTACTCAGAAGACAGAATTTTGTATGTTTATGTTTTTTGATTGAATTTTGTTGGCATGTTTGGTATATTTTAATCATGTGAATTTTTGACATGGCACAGTGTTATGTTTCTAAAGACTTGTGTTGACCATGCCCATGGTCTTGCTTTACTAGTTTTGTTTTATTGCTAGAGCACCTGACCCAACGGCAGCAGATGCTCGGATACCCATTGATGAACTTCCCCTCTGCCAAAAGTGCAGTGGTCTTTTGAGACCACATGTCGTGTGGTTTGGTGAAAACCTTGAGTCATCCGTTATGGACCAGGTGGAGATGGAACTTGCCCGATGTGATCTGTGCTTGGTGGTGGGTTCACATGGAACAATAAAATGTAGTTAAAAGCAATCTCAAATTTGATTATTCTGACATATTTCAACTTCCACCGAAATTTTTTTAATCACTACGCCTATACTATGTTGATAAAGATTGGTTAGGTGGGTTTGGTTAAAGGTTTGGTTAAAAAACATAAATGTATCATCGAAACAAAATGCTGTATGTAACTATATTACTGTACTGTACTGTACTGTACTGTACTGTACTGTACTGTACTGTACTGTACTGTAGTAACTATATGTAACATACTAACGTATATTATGTCAATTGTACTTAATTGCTGTTTCTATCCCACAGGTGGGTACATCATCTGTCGTCTATCCGGCTTCAAGGTTTGCCCCGCAGGTGGCAGCACGTGGTGTTCCAGTAGCTGAGTTCAACATGGAAAAGACTTCAGTTACAAAAACCTTTGGCTTTCACTTTCATGGTCCTGCTGGGGAAAATGTACCCATTGCCCTTTCTCCAAGAGATGATACTGAACATTAATGGTGCTTGTATATTTCTATTATAAATTGGTAAAACCATTTCAATTCTTATCAAAATTGGAACGTGCAATAGTTTTTCGGACGTAGATGATACATATTGATGATATCAGGTATGTTCATTGGTTGCCTATAATTGAAATCCTACTTATCTGGTAAAATTATATCCTGCACTATGTGAAACTCTTATCGTGTAGCACTAGCATTAGGGTGTGGTTGATGCATAGTCTATGCTCTTGAGCCTCTACTCCAGTTGCACTAACGAGGGCTATTTTGTTTACTCCTGTGCCATTTTAGGCGGAGCATATTTTGCCAGCAAATTCTCAAAAGCAAGATTCTGAGGTTGTAACGTTTACTGTCCGATGTTTACGGATTTAACCACCAACACAGATTTGTACTAGTTTTTCCATCCCCTTTCTGGTACAACAGCTCCATCTAACGAGTGTAATTATAATCAATTGGAACTGTATGGAAAAACTATAATATGGATGGGCTATACACTACATCCCTCTTTTCCTTGGATCAGAAATATAACACAATTAATGATTTCAACTGCAGGATGTCTATTGAAAACATTTCTCAACTATGAAAAGAACTCTACTGTTCAAATTTCCCTGTGTGTACTAGTCCTTGTATCAAAGTCATTCAGATCCATCATGCATTAAAATCAAACAATAGAACTGCACCCACAACAAGATCATTAAACCTCTTTGGCGCCGTTTGCGCGTGCACAGATCTCTTCGGGGTTATCACTTCTGGTGCAGCTTCAGTTGCTGGATTCCCCTCTGCTGGGAGTTTATCTGGTACGATGTTGCTGGCTTCATACTCGGAGAGTGGGCTAGCTGGTCTTTCGTTGTACTTCTTTACAAAAGAACTTTCTTTCGTACCTCACTCCTTGTGGCGTTTTAACAACAACTTTGTTTCCAGTCTTGCTCACTAACATGTGAGGCTCAGATTCAAACGTTGTTGAGAGTTTATAATCCTTCTCCCCTCTAAGTAGTACCCTTTCTCCTGTCATCAAGGTACGAGTCTGTGCCATCCTTCTCTGGTCAGCGTACTCTCTCTGTCGCTCCTTTTTCTCAGAGTCGTGATCCCTCGCACCTTCATCCATGAATATTATGTTATTATCCATGAGTATTGTTCCTTAAATTCAGGTAATTTAGTCCTGATGTTTCGCCAAAACTTCAATTCGGATGGTGCGACACCAGTCGTGGCAAGTGGTGTCGTGCGCTGCTGCATGAGGAATTTCTGCACAGCTTGCTGCATATTTTCACCTTCCATTTGGCTGATTTTGAGTCTTTTCAACAATGATCTGTTTTAGCACTCAACGTCACTGTTGGCCTGTGGCCATAGAGGTGTTTTCCGGAGCAATTTTATGCCATTGTCTTTGCAATGCTGCCTGAATTCAACAGACCTGAACTGTGGCCCATTGTCAGATGAGAGCGTCACTAGAAGACCGTGTGTCACAAACATTCTCGCCAGTGCCTCAATTTTCTCAGTGGTCGTGCTTCTCATGAATGCAACTTTAAAGTATCTGCTATAGTAATCAACCACTACTAGCAGATTTACTCCATTTGGCAATGGTCCAAGAAAATCCACTGCCACATCCTCCTACGGTCCCTTTGGCATGACATAGGCTCAGGTGCATTTGGCATACCAACCAGTTGGCAGCTGTGAAAAGCACGGCATTACATTTATATTGGCATTCAGCCTCTTTGTCGATATTTGGCCACCACAGTTTGGTTCTCAACAGTTGCTTCATCACCACAATGCCTGGGCTCCCCTCATGAGCTAGTTCAGTTACACATGGTCGCAGTTTACATGGCAGGACAATTTTCCTATTACGCAGCACTACATTGCCAACAGCACATAGTTCATCTCGCAAATGTTTGTAGCCTGCTGACTTGCAATGTTCCCACTTCTTCTACAGACTGATGCATTGTTGCACTTCTTGTAGTTCAGCGTCCCTGGCTGATTCTTCTTCGATCTCTCGTGTCGTCATAGATCGTGGTGTCGCTGCTTTAGTGACAAACTGAGCATACTCCTCTGCCACATTCTCCTGTGCTTTTGTGATCTGTGTTAACGGAGACAATGCGTCAGCAATGTTATTCTTCCCCGGTTCGTACATGACGTTGAACACGTACGGCTGCAAGCATAGTACCCATCTTTCGATACGAGCAGATGGTTTCGACCTTGCTAAATAGATCACTTCAAGAGGCTTGTGATCCGTAACTGGTTCAAATGTGATGCCAGACAGGTACGTATGAAACTTCTTGCAAGCCTAAAGTCATGCTAGCGCCTCCTCGATTTGCAAAATACCTGTGCTCTACATTGCTGAGACTGCAGCTGGCATAGCTCACAAGTCTGGCCTCTCCATCCTGTATTTGAACTAATATTCCACCAAGACCGACAGGCCCTGCATCAGCTATGACCTGTGTTTTCTCCCCTTGTCTGAAGTAAGCCAATGTTTCGTGATTGGCCAACCGACGTTTCAGTTCTTGGAGCGACTTGGTCTGTTCCGGGCCAGATTTGAATTCTTTGCCTTTTCTGGTTAGTCGCCTCATAGGTTCACTCACGCTAGCAAAATCCGGGCTGAACCTTGCACTGAAGTTGACTAGACCCAGGAAACTACGTACGTCCGATGCTGTTTCTGGCTTCCTAGCCTCCACTATGGCTCTGACTTTCTCTTTGGTTGGCCCCACACCTCTGGTTGACAACAGAGGTACCATGAATTCTATCCGTGTCAGGTTAAATTTGCACTTGTCTTTATTTAAAGTCAGACCACGCTCATTAAATCTCTTCAGTACACCCAGCATGAATTTATCATGTTCTTCTTGTGTATCTCCCTGAACGATAATATTGTCGGAAATGTTACTGGCACCGCATCCGGCCAGAACCTGTTCCAAGACATGCTGATATTTTTCTGGCGCTGCCGATATCCACGTAATTGTAGTACTTGTGAGTTTCTGCGGAATAATAACTCGAATTCCCCAAAATATAACTCCATTTTGCACACTTATTTCAAGTCTTTTGTCATAGTATGCTGTGAGATTCTTGTTGGAGCATGCCCACCCATCTGTAACTGCTCTGAGCACACGTGCTAAGGTCTGACCTTTGGCCGTCTCCTTGGCAATTACTGCTGACGTCACTGGTAATGTCTCTACTTGTGACAACTGGAATATGTGTGCTTCATCTACCCTGATGTCTTGAAACCAGTCTTGCCCGAATAATGGTGGACCGCCCTGTTTGACAACATATAATGGTAGTGTTTTGATCTGACCATTCATTTCCACTTTCACGTCTGCCCGGCCAACTTGAATGACTGTCTCTCCTGAGTACGTCTTAAGCCTCTTCTCTGTATCACGTAATTGTAACTGTGTACCAAAGTGCTGTCTGAAATCTTTCATTTGAATCACAGACACCTCCTGTGTCTAGTTCCATCTTTAGTGGTTTCCCGTTGACCACCGGTTCAACCCAGAAGGTTTTCACACTTGACTTCTTCTCTGTATTACATGTAACTGAGAATAAATCAAAGTCCTCCACTGTATAAGTAGCTGCTTGCTCACTAAGTGGTGATGTATTTTCTTCATCCAATACATGGTGAATTTTCTTTTTGTCTGATAAACAAGCCCTTTGTATATGCCCTATCCTTCCACATTTTCTGAATTTTTCGTGTTCGAAATAGCAGCCGTCTGGGTCATGCCCGGATCGCAAACAACGAAAACATGGTTTATCACTTGCCTTTTTGTTCTTCTGCGGGCACTTCTGTGGACGTGTGACATGTTTCTTCTGACCTTATGCAACATGTACCTTGCACACTGTTCCGGGGTTCCGGCTTCTCTCCTGTAATTCCACTGCGTCACGTGCTGCCGTTTCCATGGCGATGGCTATCGATCTGGTATGGTCAAAGTCAAGTTTTCTCTCCGAGAGAAGCCTTTTCTGAATAGCAGCACTCCGAATGCCGTACACCAGACGATCTCACAGTGAGTCCATCAGATCTCTACCGAACTCACAATGTTCTGATAATTTTCGTAACTGCGCAATATACTCACTAATTCCCTCTCCTTCCTGCTGATCACGTTTGTAAAAACGAAAACGTTCTGCGAGGATACTCGGTGTTGGAGATAAGTGTTCTCGTATGAAATCAACAAGAAAGGTATAAGACTTCGTTGCTGGCTTGGCAGGTGAGGTTAAATCTCGTAGGATGCCATACGTTTTCCCCCGATGAGGCTTAGTAAGGCGGGCACTTTCATTTCCTCTGTCACGTTGTTGACGATGAAATATTGCCCCAGCCTTTCGGAATACGACTCCCACGACTCGATCATGTCATTGAATGATTCCATACGTCCAATGACACCTGCTATCTTCACCAGTATGATATATCGTATGTATATTGTAGCAGGCTTCTCTCAGTTTCCCTGTATGTTCTCAACACATCCTCATCTCCAGATGTTAGATATTTACACGGCTTTTGGCCTGTACCGTAGTATTTGGACGCTCGCCCAAAACTGGACGCTCCTAAGTGTGCATGCGCGCAGGCGCCTCTTGTTTTGCAAGGGTGCATGCGCAGCATGCGCATTAGTCATCTGCGCATCTTGCCCATCGAAAACGGTCGCAATAAACAAACATGGCGGCCAACCCGGTCCCTCATGGAAACATTTGATTGAAACAATTTGCAATGTAGTAAGTTAGTAAGACTCTGTTATGGTTACAAGGTGAAACAAATAGAAAACAAAAGAACATGGCTACTATTTCTTACGGCCCTGCAAAACAATATCCAAACAAAAAGAAAACAAGAAAAAAACAAAAGAGCATGCAAGCATGCGCACTTAGGAGCGTCCAGTTTCGGGCGAGCGTCCAAATACTACGGCACAGGCCTATTAACCATGATGATACACAATGAAAGCTAACTCGCAAGTAGCCATGAACGGAAACTTTTATTACGCATGCACAGACGCGTGCGCCCCGGAAGTGGGTAATACTAAAATATGGATTGCCATCCAACCACGGGCTAGTATAAATACACTATCCGATGTGTATATATAACACTGAACATGAGTCTTGACCGGAATAATCCAGAATGTGTCACGAACGTTTTTATCGCGTGATTCTGGGCTGAACTCTACTCTGTGATATCTCCATTTGACATCAAGTTTGCTGAATATTTTTTGCTGCTGGTCATGCATCACCTCATCCACAGTTAGTATCCAGAGAGACCGGCTACAATATGGCATTGCGCAAAAGATGCGTTGTTCCCCGACCGCCGAGAGCGATTAAGCCGCGCACTTCCGCGGGACTGGGCGCACGCGACCGCGGGGTGTTGTATGTAGCATCTCATGCTGCCCGCTATACGAATTCGCGCGCCGAAGGAGGGCGGGCACGCGAATGCGTATAGCGGGCAGCGTAACACCTTTTTAGGCACGTTTTTGTCACACCTACACTGGCTCGGCTACGGCGGCCTTGGGTGGAGGCATTTGCTGCTGCTGCTGTTGCTTTGCTGCTCCAGGGGCGCGCTGCAGCAGGGACCAGTATTTGGTGCTGCTGCTGGTTTG